TGTTAGGAAAATGGACTGCCATGACCAGAGACAGTTCTGACAGGGCAAGGACCGAGGAGTGGTTTTTTAGTATACAGTTCTACTAGAAACACGAGACCAGAAATAACTGAAAATATTCCAGACACAAATGCAAAACCAAACTCCAAGTATGCTTTGTGTTGTAGGATATAAAACTAGCCCCCTCTACAGAATGTTATGGTGACCCCCGAGACCGTCACAGCCTCTGATTCAGTATCCTGCTATTTTCTGGTTGTACCAAAAAATAAACATCCAGCAAGTGATTTAACCTCTTAAAAAAATCATTTACACTTAAAAAATGGGATGAATGGGACTTCCTCCCACCTTTTAAAAATGTTTCTAGAGCTACTAAAAAACTCGCATTTACAAAATAGTTGATAAAATATTCCTCTGGATTGTACAGGAAGGGAGGTGGGGACACTGACAGACACGGTGGATGGTTAGTCAGACTTGGCTTCTTTCTCTTCTACTTCAGAGGCTGGACTCTGGTTTTCAGCCTCCCCATGTTCTGCAGGCACATCTGTGGTTTGCTGGTCAGCCACCTCTGCCTGTTTGCCCTTTGCTCCCTTCTTCCCTTAGTTTGCACTTTTTTGTCTGATGGTTTATCCTTTCCCGTGACCTACTTCAGCTTCGAATCCACCTTGGCAGGGGCGGGCTTGGCCGACAGCCTTGCTGAGAACCGCTTGGGCTCCGCCTTCACCGCTCCGTCAGCGCTCACCTTCCTCTTGGGCATCATGGCAGCGCTGGATGGGAGGTGCGTGCGAGGCTGAACCCATCACGGAGCTACACCGCCTCCGAGGGGGCGGTGGGAGAACCATTTACTATTTCTTTGTCTTGTTGCCAGGTTATGGAAAAGTCCTTTTTTAAACCTTTACTATTGACATGATATTTTTTATGAAATTCTGAGGCCTCCAGCACATTTCCTATCAATAATTTATCAATCTCATCATTGCCTTGTGCTAGAGGGCCTGGCAGACCAGTTTGTGATCGGATGTGAGTTATATATAAAGGATGATTCCTTTTCCTGATTGTATCTTGTAATTGAATAAATAGTGAAGTTTATTCTGAAGCATCAGGGATAAATTCTTCAGTCTCAATATGTAATACCACTCTTTCAGCGTACTGAGAGTCAGTAACTATGTTGAGAAGTTCTGGAAAATCCATTAATACCAACAGAAAAGCATACAATTCTGATTTTTGAACTGAATTATAAGGACTTTGAACCACTTTACTTAAATTTTCTGATTTGTAACCTGCCTTTCCTTGTTTATTGGCATCTGTATAAAATGTACGAACTCCAGATAGGGGTTTTTGCC